GGAAGGGGCGCAGGGGGCCTTTGGGGCAGGCAGGGGGCCGTGGGAGGCGGAGGCGGCACTTGGCACGGCCCTGCTAGGGTGCAGCGCAGGGAGAAGGCAGGGTGCGGTTCTGCGATGGGGAGAGCCCGAGCCCGAGCCAGAGCCAGGTTACGGTGCAGGTGTTTGGGGCTGAGGAGGAGGAGGAGGAGGAGGAGGGCGAGCCCCTGCCTGTGGGCGATGTGGCGGCCCCGCTGAGGAAGCGCCAGACAGACGGCGGAGGCCGCGTTCCAGGACGCGGCATCTTCAGGGGAAACAGGGTTTGTGGCCGAGGCAGCCATGTGCCGGCCCTTGGGTCACCGTTCTCGCTGGCAAGATGTTGAGGACGGAGCAATGGCGCCGACTTCAGGAAGCGAAAGCAGAGATGGCATCACTGGGAATGGCAACACGCGCTTATTTCCCCTGCTGCGCCGGAGTCCGGTTTAAGGGAAAGAGACTTGCAGGAGGGCTGCGCGCTTTTGTGAGTCCTTTTCAAGCATTTAACTGCCGAGCGGATGCGGGGCGGTGGAAGGAGCCCGCCATAAGAGGTGCCTTCAGAGCGGGGCCAGGCCGCTGAGCTTGCGGCGCACAAAAGGGAGCGAAAGGATGGGTATCCTTTTGAGTGAATGCCAGTGCCTCGCCCGCTTTCCTTCCTGTGCCCAGTTACGCCTCGTGTGTAACAGTTGGTTCGTGAGGCAGTCGGGCTGGCAAACCTCCGCTGGAGGAATCACTTCTGTGTGGGGCGGAATACGAGTCTTTTGTTCTCCCAGCTGCTGGCTCTGTCCGAGGGGAGCATTAGTCACTTCTGTGTGATGCGTGTGTCATTGGCTCTCTCCGGAGATCCTTCCGTGCCATCAGAGGGGGAAAAGGACGAGTAAGCTGGCCTCTTAGGTCCTTAGCCCCACTCTGGGCACAGTGAGATTCACTTCAGAGTAAACATCTGGAGCAGTGTTGCTCAACCTGGGCCGCTTGCAGATGTGTGGACTTCAACTCCCAGAATTCCCCAGCCAG